AAAATAAGGAAATAAAGGTACATTATGTAAGGAGTATAATTCATGAAGATATTTATAAATATATATATATATCAAAATGGCACTCACCTTTTGTTTACTAGGTGTATACTAACTTCCACATCTGAGAAATAGTATGTGGTATTTGTCTTTCTGTGTCTGACTTTTATTTTACTTAGCATAATGATTTCTAGTTCCATCTTTTTTGTTGCAAACATCAGAATTTCTTTATACTTTTGTGGCATAATATTCCATTATGTATGTATACCATATTTTCTTTAAAGATTAAATAATTATTAAAATTCTAAATGTTCACATTCTATGTCATAAAGATTAATTTCCTTCTCAGATCTCAACAATCTAATTTCTGATTCTTTCCCCTAAACAAGTGTTACTAGTTTCTTGTGTTACATTTTAGAACAGATATAAATATGTATACACACATGTACACACTTTAAAGGATATTTAGATTGTTGGCATTTTTCTACTATAGACAAATCTACACCATACTATCTTTTTTTAGAAAGCTTTATTTAATGAATATAAATTTCACAGGTATAGCTTTTGGAATATAGCAGTTCTTCCCCCTATACTCGCCCTCCCACTCTCAAACCATCCCAATCCTACTCCCTCTCCTGTCCCATTCTTCATTAAGATTCATTTTCAATTATCTTTATGTATAGAAGATCATCTCTATACTAAGTAAAGATTTCAACAGTTTGTACCCACACAAACACACAAAGTATAAATTACTGTTTGAAGAAAAGTTTTCCCATTAATTCTCATTGTGCAACTCATTAAGGACAGGGGTCAGTTCACAGTGACTCCTGTTGTTGATTTAACAACTGACACTCTTATTTATGATGTCAGTGATCACCCAAGGCTTTTGTCATGAGCTGCTAAGGCTATGGAAGCTTTCTGAGTTCACAAACTGTCATTTTGACAAGACCATAAGCAAAGTGGAAGCTCTCTCCACCTTTCAGAGAAAAGTACATCCTTCTTTGATGGCCCCTTCTTTTTTTTTAAGATTTTATTTATTTTATTTTGAGAGACAGCATTACAGACAGTGAGAGGGAGAGACAGAGAGAAAGGTCTTCCTTCCATTGGTTCACTCCCCAAATGGCTGCAAAGGCTGGAGTTGCGCCAATCCGAAGCCAGGAACCAGGAGTTTCTTCCATGTCCATCATGTGGGTGCAGGGGCCCAGGGACTTGGGCCATCTTCTACTGCTTTCCCAGGCCATAGCAGAGAGCTGTATTGGAAGTGGAGCAGCCGGGACTAGAACCAGCACCCAAATGGGATGCCAGCGCCACAGGCAGAGGATTAACCTAGTATGCCACAGCACTGGCCCCGATGTCCCCTTCTTTCCACTGTGATCTCACTCACAGAGATACTTCATGTAGATTATTTTTTTGCCATAGTGTTTTGGCTTTCCATGCCTGAAATGTTGTCATGGGCTTTTCAGCCGGATCAGAATGCTTAAGGGCCAATTCTGAAGTCAGAGTGCTATTTAGGGCATTTATCATTCTGAGTCTGCTGTGCATCATGCTATCTTATAAGTCATTTCACACACATACACACAAAAGCAGGGGAAATGCACATTATATTTACAATGTATTCCCATGAACTTAAAAGTATCTATCATCTATCTATCTATCTATCTATCTATCTATCTTCTATCTATATTTATTTACTTGAGAGGCAGAGAGAGAGACAGAGAGAGGGAGAGAAAAAACAAGAGAATTTGCATACACTAGTTTACTCTCAAAATACCTGAAACAGCTGGGACTAGGCCAGGACTGAAACTGGGAGCCTGGAATTCAATTGGTTCTTCTGCATGGGTGACAAGGACCTGATTATTTGAGCCATCACTGCAGCAGTGTGCACGTTAGCAGGAACATAGCACTGAGAGCAGAGCAAGGTCTTGAAATCAAGCACTCTGAATCAGGGCATGCCCATTTTAACTGGTATCTTCCCCCCCTGCAAGAAATCTTTTATTTAAGGATATAAACTTCATGCATTTCATAAGTACAATTTTGGGAATATAGTAATTGTTCCCACCATACCTGCCCTCCCACCCACCCTGCCATCCCTTCTCTTCCCTCTCCAATTCCCAGTCCCATTCTCTACTAAGATTCGTTTTATTAACTTCATACACAGAAGTCCAACTCCATGCTAAGTCAAGAACTTAACAATTTGCACACACACACGCAAAACTTAACTGGTATCTTAACTGTTATACCAAATGTTTGAACCATCCCCACACTGGAATTTTTGAAGTACCATCAAATGTGAAAATACATCTCTAAGGAGAATTCTCATGAGTGGAATTTCCCATAAGATATTTTTAGTTTTAAAAGAGCTCTTCATGCTTTCTCTTGTTTTTGTTGTATATATGTGGTTAGTCTCATTCTATGGGATTTATGGAATGAAGGGTGATTGGGTATTTATTTTTAGTTATGTTTACCCAGAAGTGGAGTTTCCTTTTTATATCTCTTTCCTATAGCATCTTATTTTTATTTCATGTTTATAGCATATTCTTTATTTTATTCATGCTTTTGACAAGATTTAGTTTATTCATGATGTTTCCTTGAAGAGTCTCTTTCATCTGTTTTGCTTATTGGTTTCCCTTCCTTTCTTCGAGAATGGAAGTTTTTTTCAAATGTCTGCTGACCTTCAGTTGTTTGCTTATGTAAAAGTAGGGGGTGACTAAACAAAAATGGGGTGCTCTGAGCATGTGAGTAGAGTCCAGAAATTGTGGTTCCCCTTTGAATGGTATCACTGGAATTTTTAAAACATTAATTTTTAACTTACAATGTCAGTATGTTTAGATGTTTCCTGGGCCACTCAAATTCTATGTTGGAGATACAGTCATATAATTTCCTACCTGAAAGAAATTTGGGTCCTGGAGCTGAATGGGAGAAGAAGCCAGTCACCTTATTTTCTTTACATATTCTCTTGTGTTCACAGCACCTCACCTTCACTGGGCATCCCTAGTCCTGGCACTGAGTTTCATCATCCCCAGAGAATTAGTCTATTTTCTGTGAGGTGAAGGCAAGATCCTTTGCTGTGGAGCAGGGAGGACCTGTGCATCAATGTACTTCTTTAGAAGACTTTCAAGCAATCCATTTTTTCTCATCCTCACCATCTTATATCAATACTTTCTACCCGACCAATTCTTGAGACCTCCGACCTGTTTATGACCACTGTTCTCTTTGTCCACCTCCAGCATAGAACTCCAGCCATACAGTTTTATAAGTCAGTTATCACCCATCCATCTACTTCAAATTTCAAAAAAGCTCACCTTTTTATTGTTGTCCTATCTTCTGTTTTCAGTATATTTGAGATTACTCTCATTTTAGAGAGATTTTTGGAGCCAGTGGTGATTGAATATGTGCAATCAGCCATGTTAAGCAAGAAGCTGAGTTTTCTTTGTATATCCAGGGTCTCCAGGACAGGATCTTGAAGATAATCTCTAAAAAACCCCAGGCTAGGGAGATGAAAAACTGTGGATATTCTTAAGACAAATCTTCTCTTCTCTTCCTGACAGACACAATTCTTCTGCAAATATGGCTGATGTGTGTAATTCTTTATTCAATTCATTCTACTCCTCTTTTTTTTTTTTTTGACAGGCAAAGTGGACAGTGAGAGAGAAAGAGACAGAGAGAAAGGTCTTCCTTCCGTTGGTTCACCCCCAAATGGCTGCTATGGCCAGTGCACTGCGCTGATCCGAAGCCAGGAGCCAGGTGCTTCCTCCTGGTCTCCCATGTGGGTGCAGAGCCCAAGCACTTGGGCCATCCTCCACTGCCTTCCCAGGCCACAGCAGAGATCTAGACTGGAAGAGGAGCAACCGGGACAGAATTCGGCACCCCAACCGGGACTAGAATCCAGGGTGCTGGTGCTGCAGGCAGAGGATTAACCTAGTGAGCGCTGGCCTCTACTCTTAATCTTTGTAAAAAAAAATATGTCCTGAGAGGTTTCTTGTAGCAGACTATGCCTTTGCTTCTGCTTAGACAATCTAGCAATATTCATTTTGTACCTTGCTTTGGAAGGAGACTTTCTGATTCATGCTTACAAATGTCTTTTTTTTTTTTTTGGACAGGCAGAGTGGACAGTGAGAGAGATAGAAAGGTATTCCTTTTCCGTTAGTTCACCCCCCAATGGCTGCTGCAGCCGGCATGCTATGGCCGGCGCACCACACTGATCCGAAGCCAGGAGCCAGGTGCTTCTCCTGGTCTCCCATGAGGGTGCAGGGCCCAAGAATCTGGGCCATCCTCCACTGCACTCCCAGGCCACAGCAGAGAGCTGGACTGGAAGAGGAGCAACCGGGACAGAATCCAGTGCCCCAACTGGGACTAGAACCTGGGGTGCCGGCACAGCAGGCGAAGGATTAGCCTATTGAGCCGCGGTGCTGGCCACAAACGTCCTTTCTCTACGCTCTCTTTCATCCTGTTCATGCTTGAAACATGAGCAATGCTCCAGTGCTGTCAGCTACCATCAATTTTAAACTCTTAAACATTGCTTATGTTACCGCATTCAATCTTTGGTATCACCCTATAAGATAGTATCACAGCATAAATAAGATAAATGAGGTAATTGAGGTTCAGAAAGGTTATGGAAGGTGTCCAGTTAACATAGCTGATAAATATCTCTGCTGCTTGAATACTTCTGAAAAAGCAAATCCTTGAATGAGGCTGGAGTAGAGTTTCACAGGAGAAGCAACTATGAGGACTGGAAAATAGAGCTTTCACAGAAGAGACAGAAGCAATCCCTCTAGCAACAAATATCTTAAAATTCACTTTTCAAATGGGTGCAGAAAATCCAAAAACAGCCACTTGAATCTTTGTTCCAGAGTTTTTTTTCTTAAAAGAGCACATGGTTTTCACTTCAAACCATCTAACATTTAAAGAGGACAATAGGGAAAAGTTGTGATGTTCTTACTAGTGTAGCACTAAATACAAGCCTTTTGTTTCCAGATGCCAAACTGCGCTCCCCTCTAGGAACAATGACCTGGGCAGGAAACCAGACTCTCATCTCCCACTTCATCCTCCTGGGCCTATTTAACTACTCACCACTGCATCTCTTCCTCTTTTCCATCATCATGGTCATGTTTCTGGTGGCCCTCTCTGGCAATGGGCTCATGATGTTCCTCATCAATGTAGACTCCCGCCTGCACAGTCCCATGTACTTTTTCCTCAGCTGGCTGTCTCTCATGGACCTCATGCTCGTGTCTACCATTGTGCCGCGCATGGCTGCGGATTTCCTCCTTGGCGGTGGCCTTATCTCCTTCACTGGCTGTGGACTCCAGATACTCTTTTTTCTCACACTCCTGGGGGATGAATGCTTCCTGCTTGCCTTCATGGCCTATGACCGATACGTGGCCATCAGCAACCCCCTGAGGTACTCGGTAGTCATGAGCCAGCGAACCTGCTGGCTCATGGTGGCAGGGTCCTGGCTCTTTGGCCTTGTGGATGGCCTAATCCAGGCCATCTTCACTCTCCGCTTCCCATATTGTAGCTCCCAGGAGATTGACCACTTCTTTTGTGAAGTTCCAGCTGTGCTCAAGCTGGCCTGTGCTGATACCTCTCTCTATGAGACCATGATCTACGTCTGCTGTGTCCTCATGCTGCTCTTGCCCTTTGCTGTTATCTCTGCCTCTTACCTGCGCATCCTGGCGGCTGTATTGCGCATGCACTCCACTGAGGGCCGGAAGAAGGCCTTTACTACTTGCTCCTCCCACATGATAGTGGTCTCTCTCTTCTATGGGGCTGCTATGATCACCTACATGAGGCCCCAGGCCTACCACTCCTCCAAACAGGACAAGGTAGTCTCTGCTTTCTACACCATGATCACTCCCATGCTTAATCCTCTTATCTACAGTCTGAGGAACAAGGAAGTGGCTGGGGCGCTGAGAAAACTCCTAGGAAGAGGTTCCTGTGGTGGCGGTCAGGGCTAGAATGGCACTAGCATCTGAAGGTGTGGGCTCTGTGGCCTGGGAACCTGGAAAGTCCAACTGTAATTTGGAGAAGCAAATGTGTTCTACTGGGGAGAAAACTGCTCTTTGACCAGAGTTAACCAGGTTAACACATCAATTCAATCCATTATCTTCATGCTTAGTGTGGGCAATGTGGAAGGAAGGTTTTGGTGTAACACAGAAGCAGGATCCTCAGCTGCTGACAGCACTCAATTGTATTCTTCTCCAGGAATTACCTTTGGCTGAGGAGAGCCACCCTGCCCAAAAGCATACTGACTTGCTACGGACTACCTGATTCCACCAATGATGAGTGAAGAGCATAAAGGCCTGGCCATCTGCCTCAGTTTGACCCTGAATGGCTACTACATCCCCAGGACTCCTACAGGTTCCTCTGAGGCATGAGAGGCAATTTCTTCCTGTGTCCACTTGTATTTCTCTAAGTCTTCTCCTGCACTATATGTTTTGATCTCTAGAGCACTTGCTAATAAACTTCTTACATACAAAGTGTGTCTCATTCTTCTTCTGGAAACTCTGACCTAGACATTCAGAAATTCAGGAATGATGGTAGAAAGGGAAGACTAGAGATGTCCTGCTTGGGGGGCGAGGGGTAGGGAGGAGCTGATAAGTATTTCTAAAAACATGAAGATATCTCTGATTTTTGGATGAAAATGGTGTGATCCACTCATACATCATAAGTTTCTCTCCTTAAAACATACAAAGGCATTCAAAATGCTCTTGGAATAGGCATGTTGTGAAAAAGTATGGGGGCTAATGTTGTGGCACAGAGCGTTAAGCCTCCATTTGCACTGCTTGAATCCAACATGGGAACAGTTCAAGTCCTGGCTTCTCACTTCTTTTTTTTTTAACTTTTATTTAATAAATACAAATTACCTTTCTTTGAAAGGAGGAGAGAACTTTCACTAGACAATGATCTTCTCTAAATAAGATTGAAGTCGGCGAACCCAAAAGGCCTCCATAGCATTGGAAACTCATGAAAAGAGCCGAGGGAGATTACTGATGCCATAAAAAATAGTGGCAATTTGTTTTTTTTTTTAAGAACTATTATCATGTTTAATCCCAGTGAGAGTCAAGTTGGGAATTGATAATTTCTTTTTTTTTTTACAGAAGATCAGTTTAGTATACATTAAGTAAAGATTTCAACAGTTTGCACCCCCATAGAAACACAAAGTGAAATATACTGTCTGAGTACTCGTTATAGCATTAAGTCTCAATGTACAGCACATTAAGGACAGAGATCCTACATGAGGAGTAAGTGCACAGTGACTCCTGTTGTTGACTTTACAAATTGACACTCCTGTTTATGGCATCAGTAATCTCCCTATGCACCAGTCATGAGTTTCCAAGTCTATGGAAGCCCCTTGAGTTCTGCGACTCTTATCTTGTTTAGACAAGGTCATAGTCAAAGTGGAGGTTCTCTCCTCCCTTCAGAGAAAGGTACTCCTTCTTTGAAGACCTGTTCTTTCCACTGGGATCTCACTCACAGAGATCTTTCATTTAGGTGTTTGTTCCCCCAGAGTGTCTTGGCTTCCCATGCCTGAAATACTCTCATGGGCTTTTCAGCCAGATCCGAATGCCTTAAGGGCTGATTCTGAGGCCAGAGTGCTGTTTAGGACATCTGCCATTCTATGAGTCTGCTGAGTATCTCGCTTCCCATGTTGGATCACTCTCCCCTTTATTTATTCTATCGGGTAGTATTAGCAGGTACTAGACTTGTTTATGTGCTCCCTTTGACTCTTAGTCCTTTCATTATGATCAATTGTGAACTGAAATTGATCACTTGGAATAGTGAGATGGCATTGGTACATGCCACCTTGATGGGATTGAATTGGAGTCCCCTGGTATGTTTCTAACTCTACCATTTGGGGCAAGTCAGCTTGAGCATGTCCCAAATTGTACATCTCTTCCCTCTCTTATTCCCACTCTTATGTTTAACAGGGATCACATTTCAGTTAAATTTCAATACTTAAGAATAACTGTGTATTAATTACAGAATTAAACCAGTCATATTAAGTAGAACAGACAAAAAAACTACTAAGAGGGATAATGTATTAAGTTGTTCATTAACGGTCAGGGCTATGCTAATCAAGTCACCATTGCCTCTTTTCTTTCCTGTTTCTTTTGAAGTACAGAAGCTTCTCAATTTGATGTAATCTAAGATCTTAATTTTAGCTTTGACTGCCTAAGCCTCTAGAATCTTTTCCAATAAGTCTCTGCCTTTGCCTATTTCTTGCAGTTTCTCCAATTTTCTCTAATAATATGATCGTGTAGGTCTTTAATCCATGTTGAGTGGATTTTTGTGTAAGGTATAAGGTAGGGGTCTTGCTTCATGCTTCTGTACATGGAAATCCAGATTTTTTTTTACTTTTATTTAATGGATATAAATTTCCAAAGTACCACTTATGGATTACAATGGCTTCCCCCCCATACCATCCCTCCCACCCACAACCCTCCCCTTTCCCACTCCCTCTCCCCTTCCATTCACATCAAGATTCATTTTAGATTATCTTAATATACAGAAGATCAGCTTAGTATACATTAAGTAAGGATTTCAACAGTTTGCTCCCACACAGAAACATAAAGTGAAAAATAATAGATGATTTTTTTAAAATGATGATGAAATCAGATCAGACCTATTGTCATGTTTAATCCCAGTGAGAGTCAAGTTGGGAATTGATAATTTCTTTTTTTTTTTACAGAAGATCAGTTTAGTATGCATTAAGTAAAGATTTCAACAGTTTGCACCCCCATAGAAACACAAAGTGAAATATATTGTTTGAGTACTCGTTATAGCATTAAATCTCAATACACAGCACATTAAGGACAGAGATCCTACATGAGGAGTAAGTGCACAGTGACTCCTGTTGTTGACTTTACCAATTGACACTCCTGTCTATGGCATCAGTAATCTCCCTATGCTCGAGTCATGAGTTTCCAAGGCTATGGAAGCCCTCTGAGTTCTGCGACTCTTATCTTGTTTAGACAAGGTCATAGTCAAAGTGGAGGTTCTCTCCTCCCTTCAGAGAAAGGTACCTCCTTCTTTGAAGACCTGTTCTTTCCACTGGGATCTCACTCACAGAGATCTTTTGCCAGAGTGTCTTGGCTTTCCATGCCTGAAATACTCTCATGGGCTTTTCAGCCAGATCAGAATGCCTTTAGGGCTGATTCTGAGGCCAGAGTGCTGTTTAGGACATCCACCATTCTATGAGTCTGCTGAGTATCTCGCTTCCCATGTTGGATCACTCTCCCCTTTATTTATTCTATTGGTTAGTATTAGCAGGTACTAGACTTGTTTATGTGCTCCCTTTGACTCTTAGTCCTTTCATTATGATCAATTGTGAACTGAAATTGATCACTTGGACTAGTGAGATGGCATTGGTACATGCCACCTTGATGGGATTGAATTGGAGTCCCCTGGTATGTTTCTAACTCTACCATTTGGGGCAAGTCAGCTTGAGCATGTCCCAAATTGTACATCTCTTCCCTCTCTTATTCCCACTCTTATGTTTAACAGGGATCACATTTCAGTTAATTTTTAACACTTAAGAATAACTGTGTATTAATTACAGAATTAAACCAGTCATATTAATTAGAACAGACAAAAAAACTACTAAGAGGGATAATGTATTAAGTTGTTCATTAACAGTCAGGGCTATGCTGATCAAGTCACCGTTTCCCATAGTGTCCATTCCACTTCAACAGGTTTCCTTTTTGGTGTTCAGTCAGTTGTCACCGATCAGGGAGAACATATGGTATTTGTCCCTTTGGGACTGGCTTATTTCACTCAGCATGATGTGTTCCAGATTCCTCCATTTTGTTGCAGATGACTGGATTTCGTTGTTTCTTACTGCGGTATAGTATTCTAAAGAGTACATATCCCATAATTTCTTTATCCAGTCTACCGTTGATGGGCATTTAGGTTGGTTCCAGGTCTTGGCTATTGTGAATTGAGCTGCAATAAACATTAGGGTGTAGACCGCTTTTTTGTTTGCCAATTTCATTTCCTTTGGGTAAATTCCAAGGAGTGGGATGGCTGGGTTGAATGGTAGGGTTATCTTCAGGTTTCTGAGGACTCTCCAGACTGACTTCCATAGTGGCTTGACCAGTTTGCATTCCCACCAACAGTGGGTTAGTGTCCCTTTTTCCCCACATCCTCGCCAGCATCTGTTGTTGGTAGATTTCTGCATGTGAGCCATTCTAACTGGGGTGAGGTGAAACCTCATTGTGGTTTTGATTTGCATTTCCGTGATTGCTAATGACCTTGAACATTTTTTCATGTGCCTGTTGGCCATTTGGATTTCCTCTTTTGAAAAATGTCTATTGAGGTCCTTGGCCCATCTCTTAAGTGGGTTGTTGGTTTTGTTGTTGTGGAGTTTCTTGATCTCTTTGTAGATTCTGGTTATTAACCCTTTATCTGTTGCATAGTTTGCAAATATTTTTTCCCATTCTGTCGGTTGTCTCTTCACTCTCCTGACTGTTTCTTTTGCCGTACAGAAACTTCTCAATTTGATGCAATCCCAATAGTTGATTTTGGCTTTGACTGCCTGTGCCTCCCGGGTCTTTTCCAGAAATTCTTTGCCTGTGCCAATATCTTGCAGGGTTTCTCCAATGTTCTCTAATAATTTGATGGTGTCAGGTCGTAGATTTAGGTCTTTAATCCATGTTGAGTGGATTTTTGTGTAAGGTGTAAGGTAGGGGTCTTGCTTCATGATTCTGCACGTGGAAATCCAATTTTCCCAGCACCATTTATTGAATAGACTGTCCTTGCTCCAGGAATTAGTTTTAGATCCTTGATCAAATATAAGTTGGCTGTATATGTTTGGGTTGATTTCTGGTGTTTCTATTCTGTTCCATTGGTCTATCCATCTGTTTCTGTACCAGTACCATGCTGTTTTGATTACAACTGCCCTGTAGTATGTCCTGAAATCTGGTATTGTGATGCCTCCGGCTTTGTTTTTGTTGTA